TGTTACCGGTATCTGGTCGACGCCGTCGTCCCCTGTTTTTCTTCGAGATCTAGGGATTTCGTCAAACTAGTCCATATCAAAGCGCTTGCCACCGCAATTGCCGAAGCCGCCAGAAGCTGTTTGCCCTCTTCAAGATCTCTCTCTCAGCTGGTTGCTTCTCTCTCGCCGACGACGGCGCTGGTTTTCCAATCTGGTTTCTTTCGTTTCGCGATTATGGCTAAGAAGGCTCTACCTTCTCTCGTTCTACTCACGATTCTGTCGCTCTTCTCCGCTATGTCCCCCGCTTTTTCTTCGAGATCTAGGGATTTCTTTTACTTGTTTTTTATTTTAATTTTTAGAAATAATATTAATTAATTGAGTTTACATTTTTAATTTTTATAACAATATATTATTTTTTATTTAATTTTTAATTAAAAATATGAGGTGTCATTGACGTGGCATCTACATGGCTACCGAGTCAACAAAAGTCAATGTTAATGTTGACTTCCGTTTGGTCAACCGTTATCTATAATGGTCAACGAAATCGTCAGGATATAAATGACACACAACTATCATACGTTGTGAGACAATTTTCATATCGAATACTTTAGGACACAAATGACACAAAGTTAATAGTTCGGGTTTTCCAGTGGTATTAGCCCTATTTATTATTATATCCTATATATTTATTCTTCTTCTTGATACTTGTTTATTATTTTTACTAACTTATCTATTTTATTGAAAATTTTGATTAGTCATTTAAGTAATATTATGTTTAGAAGGTTTTCTTAATTTCTATATTAGATAAAAACTTGTTGAAATATAGTTTTGGATGTTTTTAAAAGTTTTGGGTACCAAAAAGTCATTTAAATTTTGGGTTGGATGAAAAACTAGACGGATGCACATTTTGGTGACTTTAATTGTACCCGACGCCCTATTCAAGGTTAAGTGGTATGTCTGCCCCAATTCTCAAACTTTAGTGGTACCCGAGGTATTTTACCCGTCATATATTCATAAATAAAATGTTGAAGATCGAGTTAAGAGTTTATGCAACTCCAACTCACTGTTGTTTATTATTAGTAAATAAAGGCATTTTAAATTTTAACTCTCACCCCAATTCTTGAGATCGGCCGCTCGTTTGTAAAAATGAATCATCCTATAAATTAAAGTCATTCTCAATAACAAAGGCATTTTAAATTTTAACTCTCACCCCAATTAAATAATAAAAATTAATGTTTTTCATAAGTCAAAATGATTTTTCACAATAAGAAAAGTAGAAGGACCAATTAAGAAATTTAGAAAACAGAATATTCCAAGAATATTCTGTTAACTTTAACGAAATGCACTTAACATTAAACTTAAATGGTATCGGGTGCACAAATAATAGAGTACAGTGGTACCCGACGCCCTATTTAAACTTAAGTGGTATGTCTACCCCAATTCTGAAACTTAAGTGGTATCCGAGGTATTTTACCCCATGGACTGGATAGAGTACTGCTCAGGCAGGCCCTGTTTGGGCCGAAAAGTTAAGCATAGCCTACAACTGTAAGTCATGCCCACTGATTAGCCCGGCCTGTTAGCTCTGTAAGATTCTATTTAACAGAGTCACGTGCCGGAATCCCAACTGCTGATTCGGTGCCACCAAATCTGGTGGCTTTAGGGATGGCAATGGGTTGGGTTGTGTGGGGGAGTTTGATAGACCGTTAATTGCACATGTTTTTAACCCAATTCTTACACCGTTTGAAATGTGGATTCTCGTGTTTTAGGCCGATTTCACGCTAGGTTGTGCTTGTTTGTGATATTTCAGGTCCTAGTACGTGAATGAAGGTTTGGGAGCGAGTTCGGGGTCGATTGGACGAAGATCGGACGTTCGGTGAGTCGCTGAGGAAGCCACACGGGCACACCTTAAACCCACACGGCCGTGTAGGAAATCAGTGTGGCCGTGTGGAATTATGCGAGGCTTCACACGGGCAGACTGGGCATGCCACACGGCCGTGTAGGAAGCCTGAAACCCACATAATCGGAACGCGGCGTTTTGGACCTCACACGGGCATCTGAGGTAAGCCACACGGCCGTGTGGCCTGGCCGTGTGAGTCGGGAAAATCTGGTTTTAACCCAATTTCGGGCCAAAGGAGAGGAAATCGACTTTTTGGAGCAAAAACAGAGTTTTAGAGAGAGAAAGGGCGAAGAACAAACCCTAGGAGCTATTTGGAGTGGATTTCTCACCATTGAAGCCCAGATTGCGTCCCCAGGAGTGAAGATTGACATCCCAGAGCAGATTTCCTCATCTTTATGAGTATGACTACTCTGATTTCTGTTTTCCTCTCTCTCTCTATGGAGTAGAACCCTTCTCTCACTTGGGTATGAAGAACCCTAGTTCCATGTGTTAGGGATTTGATTGTAATGACTTGGGATGATTATACTGTTTGATTTTAATCGAATGATGCATGTTTCATTGAATTGATTGAAGTCTGATCAGCTTTTCTTGATTTCTGCTGCAACCTGAGATAGATAGAATCTGATTAGGTTGTCAGAGCTTCTTCATTCAGTAGTAGGAGATTGGCTATACGAGAGTTAGTCAGTCTACTGATTTGTACTGGAACCCAATTCCAGTAGTGGAGTTCTGTTCTTATTGCTTCTATCCCGGTGAAGACTAGTCGTCTGCCGGGTAGTTAGACTGAGAGGGTTTGGTCAACTTAAGAGATTCCAAGCTACTGTCGGATCTTCCGCAATCTAATCAACAGTAAATCAACCCAGGGTAATTACAATTGAGACCTAACTAAGGAGCTAGGGGGACTCATTCCCGAGTGACTCTTCCTTTGCTTGAGAAAACCGAACAATTTCCTGCTTTCTTACTGCTTTTAGTTAGAACAACAATCACTTAACTTAGTTGGCTAGATAATAGATAATCACGGAGTAGGCAGTAGATCTAGACCCCGGGTTGATAATAGAACTTGCCATTTTACTGCATTCCCGGACTGCGATTGCACTTGGTCGCAGTTTGGTGTTGTGTTTTAGCGTGTCACAGGTTTTGCTAAACCCAAACTCAAACCAATGAGTTTATCCGTAAAAAATATCTACTGTAAAACTCACTGGGTTTTGAAAACTCAAACTCAACTCAACCTGCTGGGTATCCAGGGGTTCATGGGTACCCATGCATTTTTCTAATAAAATTTTTACAATAATAAGTTCCTATCAAAATAATATTCAAAGATCAATTTTCCCATACAAATTATCCATACATAAAACACCAATCTAGAAAATTCAAACATATCACAATTACACTAAATAAAAGCACATGAAATAAGTGTAGTGAGAGTTAAATTGGGGGAAATTAGAATTAAGGTAGGGTTTGAAGAGAGTAGGGCGACGGAATAAGTGGGAGCGGGTATCCATGGGTCAGGTATCCCTAAACCCAAACCCAACCCGGTGAATATTGTACGGGTATAGACTCGAACCCGGCTCGAAACCCTTCAACACGAGTAAAACCCGCGTTGACCGGGTTGGGTCGAGTAGGGTACCCGTGGGTTCGGATTTTGTTGCCATCCCTAGGTGGCTTACCTTTCCCAAAAAGCGCCAAACACATCGAGAAAACAGTTCATTCTATCTATGAGAAATATATTAAAAGAAATAATAAAATCTAAATAATTGAAAGATATATATATTGATGCAAATCATGATAGAATAGAGTCTATCGAGGATGGGACAGATAAGAAGTAATATCAATACATGTCCGTACCACGTTACTGTGGGTCGAGTAATACCCACTCTAAATAGGTCGGGAAAGATTAGATCGCACGGATCAAATAAAAATTGCCATCACTATCCTAAATATTAGAATCAAATAATGTGATGAGTATATATGAAACAACTTTAAGTAAACTAAGTAGATGTGAGAAATGTGTTAAGAGTTAGCAACGATAGAAAAGGCCAAAAAAAGTATATAACGTCACTTTAGGAACTCTTTTAAGTATATTTGAATTTGGATTTCACTACACAATGCTCATATAAATGTGAATTCACAACCACAATGGTATTGGTTGTCTTATCGTTCAATTACAAGGTCAAAGAATTGAGTATCTATTTGAGAATAGAGCAACTTTATAACTGATTGTCGCACACTTTAGCACGATCACATTAGTGCGAAAATTATAACCTTTTGGAACAATCACTTTTTCTACATCTTATAATTAGGACTTAATATGTAACGAGTCCTAATTACCCCAAAGGACAAAAATAAAACATGACAATATCACTTCATAAGAGAAACCGAATGGGTCTATGTATGTATATATATGTATCAATTAATACAGTCATAATGTAACTCAAATACCAATAATGTACCGACTACAAGTCTATAATCTACCAACCAACACATCTAAACAATATTTATCACATAACATTAGCCCATAGTAATTATCCCTGAGCGCGGGCGTTGGCAGCGGCGGCGGCCGTGGAAGTGCCTTCCATGCAATTCGGACGATGGAGGCGGCGGTGAAAATGTTTGACGGTTTCCTGGGCCTCCAACAGCTGTGCTTCAATGACCATCACTTCCTCTTCCCAACTCATCAGCGCTTCCCTAATCATCTCTTTACTGCCATCATCATGACGTGGCGGCAGTTTACCGCCAACACTAACATCGGCGCGACCACCGTCGTCGGCGACATCATCAGCCTTGTCATTAGACGACAACTCCTTCATTAAGGCCCATAACGCCAGGAACAAGACGGGTAAGGTGGCCAATAAGGGGCAACCATATTTCGCAAGGAAGAACACTAGGATAGCGAAAAGGAAAAGATCTACGGAGGAGGGCGTCGCTGCCGGTTGCCTTTCTACTCTTCCGTTCGCCTGGGATCCCGTCGGCGACATGATCAATGGTGTTTTTAGGGTCTTTTCTATCACAATCACAAAGATGTTTCTTGCTCTGTCACCTAGTTTGTTTTTATATTTATAATAAAACCTAGTAGTGGGTTGGAAAATTAGACAAAAAAAATACGATGTTAAAACGGATTAGGACTTAAGGCGCAGTGGTCCCTTTCTTAATGGGCCGGAATGTTTAGCCCACAGCTCAAGGCCGGTATGTACCATACCGTAGGGATGACAATTTTGCCCATACCCATGGCTTTTTAACTATCCAACCCAATTGGGTTGGGTATGAAATCCAAATAGATGGATATGGGTAGAGTTTGATGGGTTTGTACCCATACCCATTTACTTTGGGTTGGGTTGGGTTTATAACAAATGGATTTGGGGTTGTACCCATGCCCAAATACAAATTACATTTTGGCACCTAAACTTAATAGATATGCATATTTAATTTTTTTGCATATAAATCCTTAAAATATCGATGGAAAATTACGTCTTGGTACCTAAATTTTTTTGGTCTTACATTTTGGTACCTAAAATTTTCAAGTTTTACAAATAGGTCCAACTTTTGCATGTGTAGTTAAAACACCCTCAAGTAAATGGATATCCATATCCAACCCATACCCATTTAGATTATGGAAGCAATATTCATACCTTACCCAAACCCATCTACAAACCCCCAAACCCATATGCACTTCACCCATACCCAACCCATTATCAATGGGTCTACTTGGGTTTGGGTATAATTACCCATGTGTGGGTAATTGCCATCCCTACCATACCATACCGTACCCAAATTTGGTGGGAAATGTAAAAGGTGAGCTTAAAAGATATTTTTTTATGGAAACCTGCTATACTTTTATTAAGCAGAAATTGATGTTACATCATCATTAATCAATTGGTCAATAAGATAAATCGGCGGCCTGCCAAGCCAGACAATTCGTTCATCCCATCTACTATATGCATGCGCCATTATGTGGGATGCATTGTTTGTCTCTAGGAATATAAATCTCCAGTTGCTGTTCATCAGCTCATCAAGCATACGTCTCACATTTCGACAAAGAACACCGAGCTCCATTTGCAATGTGTGTGGGTTTTGAAGGATTCGGATAATGTTCTGACTGTCCGACTCAAGTATGATGGAATCATAATTCAGCTGCCTTGCCAATTGAACTCCCATCTCAGCGGCCAAAGCTTTCGCCTAATCCACACTCCACTCCCTATGAAATTTCTTTGCAGCAGGCAGCAGCAGCTAGGAATCGACCTGCACCATCCCTGATAACCAATCCCAGGCCTGCACCCCCGCTCACAATAACACTTGCCTCCGTAGCCACTGATATACTCCCTTGACATGGTCGCTTCCACTTCTTCTTATAATGGCCCTCTCCCATTTCTCTAATGACTTCCTCACTGAGCTGGTGCTCCTTATAGTCTATTAGCATTAGGAAGTAGTGTGCTCGAGAGGCAATTTCATATTCCGGGTTCTTATGAGTTATAACCATTGAAAAGTTGGGTGTTTCGTTCTTTCCACAAGAACCATAGCAAGGATTGCTCTGCCACCCGAGCTTCGCCATGGAGTTATCTGGCATTGGCGGAGTTATGATTAAAACGAGCGAAATATTAGTACAAGGTTTAAGCAAATTACGATGACGACGAGTAAAGAGTACTGACTTACCGTATCCGACAAGAAAGAAGGACAGTGCAGCTACGATTGCAGTGTCTCTGATCTCATTGTTGAGCAGTTTGAGAATGTTTGTTTGTACGAACACGAAGGGTTGCGGAACAATTCTCGATCGTTTTTCTTGTATTGCTCAAAGATCAGAAAAGATATTGCTACCCTGTACAATGATTCCTACAAAACTATTTAAACTCTAATGGCTAAGCTACAGGGCAAAAACTATAGTATACACAAACCAAATATTGCTGCCACTTGCCTGTCTACAAAGGCCAGATACACTTCTCTATTGTAGGCTTTGAGGCGTCGTTTCCTTTAGTAACTCAACAGGGTTCTTCTTCCTCGTCCGACCGGAACTCTGCTTTCTCCTTCTCTGTTGCGGATTAGGATTGCATGTGTTCTGCACACTTCTATGTTCTTCTTCTATTTCATTCTATTATTCTACCATCTGAGGCTGAGTATTTGACATATAGCTTGAACCTTCTATCAGAAATAGTTGTTCATCAACGTGCATGGGAGGAGTTGGTAATTAACGCAGTTACTAGCTAGCTAGTTATATATACTTCATCACCAGCCCAACTTTGTCAGAGTAAATGAAAAGTGAATCAACAAAAGTTTGTCAGTATGTTCTACGATTCAACTACCTACCTTAGTTGCTTAATGCTTCGAGTAAATGGTTTCATTCCTTGTCCCTTTTTTTCCCTTGTTAATTGCTAGCTGTCTGTTTGTGATGGATGTTCGATCTGGTTCTGCATCCATCAACCTGCTCCCCTGCTTAGGTTGGTTGAGGTGCTTCTTTCTGCACTGTTTATTCCCACTTATTCACTCAACCCCAGCTAGCTAACAAGCCATTTTAGCATATATCCATGTGACAAAGAACAAACAAGTCATGAAACTAAGTTTATCAGCTTCCGTAAATTGTTTGAACAAGTAATGCAGGTACTCTCAAATACATGCACCAGAGTACGTACAACACAGTCTTCGATCAGGTGTCTGACAATTACACTTGCGCAAGAATCCAACGCACATATTATCCTTGTACATTATTAGATAAACACTGACTTGTACATCAAGTAATACTTCAGTACCAAGTCGCACCAAGCAAAAGAAAACTAGCAACAAACTGTTCCTCCCTATATCTTTCGTTTCGACGATGTCGGGCTGAGGCACGATATTGTAAGTGTTTCAGCAACACACTTTTCTAGGATCAGTAGGAAAGTCAGCAAGTGGAAGAGCTTGGTAAGGAGATAGTAAGACAGAATCTGATGGTTTGCATCTTACGACGAAAACTCTGGGATGCTCTCAGAATCGTCTCGAAACCTTTTCGTTAGTAGGTTCTTGGATGTTGTGCTCACTGCATTCCTGAAGGAAAATTCAAAGCCTTCACGCGAATAACAACCTGAAGCTTTTTGCTCGTATTGAGTAATGTTTAATGCTTCCAAGTCAATGAAAGTTTAAGTGTGCTATACATCACAACTTTACTCCTTGTCCTATTGTACTTGAACCAATTTGATGGAATTGAATCAATGCTAAAACGGGACAGTAGCCTGCATCTACTACTCTCTCTCAGTAAGAAATAACAAAACGTTCATTGCACAGACAGGACACATAGCCAGCCAAATCTTCTTGGGAAGATTGATGTGAGATATGTAGGCTCGTTAAGTCAATCCTCCTTGTGCAAGACTTTAGGAACTCGAACGTAAGGCTCGTCATAGCTTGGAAGGCCTTCGATGATGGCATCCCTGGATTTTGAAAGCACAGAACACTTAGATAGCATGACGTTTATCAAACACAGATTACCCTTCCAAAAGCTCATTCTCGTACACAGCACTTGTTAACTAGTAATAACTTATTTCACCACAAATGAAGAAGAGAGACTTACATTTTAGGAAATGTTACAGGAACATCATCTCGCAAGTTCACTCCTTCTTCAGCATCTCATGATCACACGACGACAATCACAAATGAGATGGATCCCACACGACACGCAACAACAAGGAGTAAACAATGTACGAAAAACTCGAGTTATTAAGGTCACTTCATCATGGTTCACTCGTTAAATCAGCATCTCTAATGGACGAGCTGAAACTTCAATCACAACAGTCGACTTCAACATGAGTTGTTGTAAACTCCCATCATCAAAGGTCCCATCTTTTTGCATATTATGATAAACCCACAATACCAGTAGTTGGATTCAAGTACAGTGTAATATTTGTTAGAACATTTTAACCAGACATCTACTTGAATTCAATCCATCCAGAACCTTGGATAAAGGAGAAAAACACTATAGCCTGCTGCTGTAGCTGCTCGGATCCCAAGATCCACCTGATTAAGATCCACACCTTGAAGTTGCCCAAACCTACAAACACAAACCCACGAAAATTCTTCACATTACTCTCCCCCGAGTGTTTCCAAAATCCAACACTGGGAGCGAGGGATTCTAAACAATCACCATTCAATCACTTGTTGGATTTTGGGGCCGAAATCCTCCACCTGGAAAATCGAACACACAAACTATATCAGAAACCAGAGCAAGGGAGAGGAAGAAATCAGACTCCGAGCTTGCTTACCTCTTGTTCAGTGAGCGAAATTCGAGCGGTTTGAGCCAGTCGCCGGACGTCCGGCGCTTCCTCGTTCGTCAACGTTTTCGCTGAAAACCTTGCCGCGCTGTTCTGCCGCCTACAAGGACTGTCGCTCTCGTCGAGAAAAGAGTAAGAGGCGCAGTGGCCATAGCCATGAGTGAGCTTCACCGTCTTGTTGCTGTGGATTAGTAGCAGCGGAAATGAGCGGCCAAGCAGCAATCCTCCGGTCACCATAGTGTCCTTCCAGTTCCAATTTCCCCTCTTTCACCCCGCCGGTAGGAATGGCAACGGGGCAGATTTGGGGCGGATCGTAGTGAATCCGTGCCCTGTCCTGCCTCCTAAAACAACGATCTGCTCTGCCCCGTGCTCCGACACGGGTCACCAAATTCTGATCCAAATCTGCTCCGTACGGGTCGGATAATACCCGCCCTGATCTGTCTATACTCTATACCTTACAATTGGAGGTTGAAAGAAAAGCCGCACGTCCAGCGCTGCTCAAGGTTGAGACTTGAGATTATCGGGAAGCTAATGGAGGACAGGAGTAAGTCTATTAGAATTGGGAATTTGGAGAGGTAGATTAATAGATAAAAGGCTGGGATGAGATTGGGGTTGTGCGAAGAAGCTTGGTGAGAATTAATTAGGGATTTGGAATTGGGGTTTGCGAACAGCCACACAGGTCTGGGTTCGTACATGAACAGGAGGAAGATGAGGAGAGAGGTAAGGATAATTAGGTGTTTGATCCAAAAGTAAGAAAAGGAAAAAATGTTTTGTGGTTTATGATTCGTTCAAAGATAATAGGCCACAAAACCAACAGTGTTGGTGGTTAGTACGTGAGAAGAAGGGATTCAAATACTCATACTTCTCTGATTCCTAACAGGGATGACTCTCCTGCGTCTTACATTCACTTGATTGAATGATTGATGTCGTCACATGTTTTCAACGGTGACGCCGCTTCGCCGGCGACAGGGGGATTTCTAATTTTCTATTCCCTTATATTTCTAATTCATGTGTTCATATATGTTGTTTGTACCATGCTTATTCCAATCCTTGCCTCGGACTCCTGAACTGACGGCTTTACGCGTAGGGATGACAATTACCCACCCATGGGTAATTTTATCCAAATCCAAATAGATCCATTTAGTATGGGTAGGGTTTGGATGAAGTGTATATGGGTTTGGGGGTTTGTAGATGGGTTTGAGTTAGGTATGGATATTGCTTTCATTATGTAAATGAGTATGGGTTGGATATGGATATCCATTTACTTGAGGGTGTTTTAACTACACATACAAAAATTGGACCTATTTGTAAAACTCGAAAAGTTTAGGTACCAAAATGTAAGACCAAAAAAATTTAGGTACTAAAATGTAATTTTCCATCAATATTTTGAGGACTTATATGCAAAAAAAATTAAATTTAGGTACTAAATACGCATATCTATTAAGTTTAGGTACCAAACTGTAATTTGTCTTTGGGCATGGGTACAAACCCAAATCCATGTGTTAAAAACCCAACCCAACCCAAGTAAATGGGTATGGGTACAAATCCATCTAACTCTACCCATCTACTATTTATTTGGAATCCATACCCAACCCAATTGGGTTGGATAGTAAAATACCCATGGGTATGGGCAAAATTGCCATCCCTATTTATGCGTGAGGGCGACGAGACGAGGCTCAGAGCTAGACAAGCCCAACTATTGCGAGGTTATCCAAAAGACCAAAACTGCTCCTTCTCGGCAACAAGACTTCCTCCGGTGAGGCGGAAATTTGAATCCAAAAGAATCCGCCGGTGACAGTCATGAGAACTACGGCGGCCGGTGCATTCTCTGTAATCGGCTGCGATAGTCTTCGATGAGCGATTCGAAAAGCGGAATCACGTTGCTGAGCTTGCCTTTAATTTCGCCAGGTCAGTACCATGATTGACGAATGACGATATTATGGTATTTTAATTAATTTTTTCCTTCAATTTCAAATCCGTTTTAATGTTGTTTAATGTGCCCCGTCAGCCATTTAGGCATTTAGCCTTTCCTTTTCTGGCTTTAAATGCTCTGCCGGTTTCATTCTCTTAATTTTCTGCTTCAGTTTATTGGCCAATCGTATTAATCTTTCTGTAACCTAATAAAAAAATCGAATCAATTCCCTGTTTTGAATCTTTTGTTAGTTCCTTTCCATTAATTGTTAATTAATCCGTTATTGCTGAATTATGTTTGATTTTTACAATTTTATTTGTAATAATGTTAGTCGAGTGGTGTATTCAGACATTCAGTATCTTTGACTTTGTCTCAAACCTGTTTTTCCCTTGAGGAATTTCATTAACTTTATTCTAAAGAGATGATTTTGTCTCTGGCCTGTTTAATGCTGACGGGGAGTGGATAATAGGTGAAAAAGGGAAGGCGGACATTGCGACTAGTTTTTACCAATCTCTCTTCACTTCGGAGTCGCAAGTACAGGATATGGCTGAGCGAGTGGCTGAGCTCCCCATTGCCTCCAATGTGACCCCAGAAATGAATGATACCCTTACCGCTGAGGTCAGTCCGCAGGAGATCCGCAAAATGGTCTTTGCGATGGGTTCAAAACAGGCTCCTGGCTCAGATGGGTTCACGGGTAAGTTTTTTAAAGCCTTCTGGGAGATTGTTGGGGAGTCAGTGGTGTCAGCGGTTGGCTCTTTTTTTACTACAAGTAAGATGCTCCGGAGTTTCAAACACACTTGGTTGACTCTGATCCCCAAAGTGGATCAGGTGGAATCCATGCGCCAGCTTCGCCCTATTAGCTTATGCCAGTTTGTGTACAAAATAATCACTAAAATTATGGCGGAAAGACTTGCGGGGATCTTGCCTATTATTGTCTCGGAAGGGCAGAATGCCTTCATCAGAGAAAGACAGATAGTGGATAATATCCTCATTGGTCACGAGTTGATGCATTATTTGAAAATCAAAACCCGTGGTAAGAAAGGATACATGGCTCTGAAGGTTGACATGGAAAAGGCCTATGATAGAGTTGAATGGTCCTTTCTGTTGGCGGTTTTGGAAAAAATGGGCTTTAGTTCGGTCTGGCGTGGGTGGATTCGGGAGTGTTTACAGTCCACTTCTTTCTCGGTCCTAGTGAATGGGTCTCCATCAGGGTTCTTTGCGCCTTCTCGAGGGCTTCGTCAGGGGGATCCTCTTTCTCCCCTTCTCTTTGTGCTTTGCACGGAGGGGTTTGCTGCTTTACTCCGCAAAGCTATCTCGGAAAAAAGGCTGGCAGGAGTCAAGGTAGCGCCCCGGGCCCCTCGCATATCTCATTTGTTCTTTGCTGATGATTCTTACTTGTTCCACCGTGGTTCCCTACAAGAGTGTGAGAATATGATCGAAGTACTAAATGAGTATGAAGAGTTAAGTGGCCAAAGGGTGAATTTGGAGAAATCGGCGGTGTGTTTTAGTAAGAACATCTCCTTGCCAGATGAGGAGTTCTTGGCGGCTATCCTTGGCGTGGGCGCAGTAGGGGTTCAAGATAAGTATCTTGGTCTCCCCACTTTGATAGCAAGATCCAAGACAGCCACATTCCGGTACCTGGAGGAGAAGTTGCTAGAACGTCTACAAGGTTGGAAGCGGAGGACCCTTTCGTCGGCAGCTAAAGAAACTCTCATCAAATCGATTGCTCTAGCTTTGCCGCTCCATGTGATGTCCTGCTTTCGTCTGCCATTGTCTCTCTGTCGTCTCCTGGACAAACATGTCGCGAGATTCTGGTGCGGGGTTAAAGAAGGATGCTCACGGGTCTGGTGGGTTTCCTGGCGGAACATGTGTAGAAGTAAACATGAGGGAGGCATGGGGTTTCGTCGTTTCGAGCATTTCAATCAAGCTCTTTTAGCTAAGATTGGATGGCGAATCCTTAATGAACCTCAATCCCTCTTAGCCCAGGTTTATAAGGGGAAGTATTTCCTACAGGGATCTTTCCTTTCAGCCACGGCGCGTTCCCGCCCTTCTTGGGGATGGCAAAGAATTCTTTATGGGCGTCAGTTGTTGTCTACAGGGTTACGATGGCAGATTGGAAATGGGCAAACGGCCCCCTTACTTGACTCAAACTGGATTACACAGCTGTACCCTCTACCCCCCGGTATATAATCCGCGGGTCCTTCCTGAGGGAGGGGAAACGAAGGTCTCTGCAGTCATCTGCCCAGGGGAAGGTCGATGGTGCGAGGATAAGCTTAAGCAGTGGTTTGATCCTCCGACATGCCAAGCTATTCTGGCAATGCCTCTACCACGGCGAAACGTCGAGGATCGACTGATTTGGCATGCTACTGTTGATGGTCTCTTCTCTGTTAAGTCGGCCTATCACTTGGCAGTTTGTCTAGACCAGTTGAATGGGCGGTGGCGACCGCAGGTTAGTTGGATGCACAAAGCTAGTTGGATCCGACTTTGGGATGCCAAAATTCCCCCGAAATTGAAGATATTTGCCTGGCAACTATTGAGCAGAATTCTGCTGACTACTGAGGTGCTAATCGAGAGGAAAATTGATGTCCTTCCCCGGTGTCCTGTGTGTTGGGCCCCATCAGAAACGATGGAGCACCTTTTCCTTGATTGCTCGGTAGCCAGGGCTTTGTGGACTCAGTCTAGTCTGGATCATCTTGGTGAGGGCTTGCCTCGACATACATTCCCTCTGTTCCTGAAGCAGTTGCTGGCTATCTTGCAACAACCCTCGCAGGTCATGGAAGTTATTGCTATCCTATGGAGGATTTGGCGATCCCGGAATTGGGTGGTCTTTGATGGGAAGCAGTTTGGTATCCATGCTCTGATGCGGCAGTATCACCAGCAGATAGGGGAATGGTTGAGCTTACCTAAGGATCCCCGGCGTCCCTCTCTGTCTCCTCCTAGCACTAGTACAGTGGGTTTAGGTGGGGCAGGGGGGGCCTGTGTGTCGATGGGATGGAGCAGTCCGCTCAGGGTCTCACTCTGCAGGAGGCTTTGTGCTCCTTAATGAGGGAGGGGAGACCCTCTGGGCGGCTGGTGTTCAGTTCCCTCTGCTGGATGACCCAATGGTGGCGGAAGTACTTACCCTTCGCGAAGCAATCCGCTGGTGTATAACACAGGGTTTTGTGTCAATGAGGTTTGAAGGCGACGCCAAGGTGGTCATTGAGAAGCTTTGTTAGGCTGATGCGCGTGATGGTCGGATTGGGGCCATTTTGGAGGAGATTCTGCAGGTTTTTAGGGTCTATCCGGGTTTCATTGTACGATTGTAGGTCGGGGTAGCAATAGGGTAGCTCATAGTGTAGCTAGACAGGCCCTGTCTTTGTTCCCGACTACATGTCGTTATTTTGACTTTCAGGCCTGGCTGAATTCCATGATGTAACTATCGATCTGATTATATCAATATATGATTATCTTTTGTCAAAAAAAAAAAAAAAAGAATCACATCATTAGTGGGGTGTATTCGGTAACTCCGACTTTGTCTCAAAGGTAGAATTTAATCTCTCGAGATAGAGATTTCTAGCTCCATATTGGGTGCCTTTTTGGTTGGGCACTCTGCAGGAATATGAGTGATAAGAAGGAAAATCAAGGAAGGGCAACCATTTTCGTCAGTCTATCAGGTGATATTTTTTAATATATTTGACTCGAATAAAATTTTATTGGCACTCTTTGTTTTCTCTCAATTTTATGAAACCATTTATAATTACATTATAGTACTCCTTTCTTCATGTGACGTAAGGAGATGGTGACTAATACATCCTTTTTTATTGTTGTGTTTTTTTTGGCGACTCAAATTTGATCATCCGGCAAAATTCTTCGAAGAAAGCTTCTCTCAGTCGAGCGGGGACCTTGGAGGAAGTTCTCCTCTTTTTCTCTTCTTTGAGTCAGTGTCGTGTCTTTTGCTCCTCGGAGCGTTAACAGATCTGCCCATGTAGTGGCTTATCAGGCTCTTTCATCGGGAATCCGCTTGCTTACGGATTATCGTCATTTTTTAGAGTTCTCCTTGTATCTGATTCGAGTCTTTGTCCCATGCCCTTTGGGCTTGCCTTGGGAAAAAAAAAAGAGGCCACATGTGGGCTAAACTTAAAGCCCAATGCCCTTTCCAAACCATTAGAAGTCTAGAACGAATGACTCAAAAACAATTCTTCCCTTCACTGTGTGAGGTAGCCAAGTGAGAAAGGTTTCCATTCTATTTAAGCAGGGCGGAGCGTGGCAGTTCGGCAATCAATATCCATATCCGAACTGTTCTAACCACGGATCGGATCGAGATCCGCCCCATTCAAGAACGGATCGAATTTTATTTGCTCCATTACAGATCGGATCGGGGAATATTCACAGGAGCGGATCAGGTTTGCCATCCCTACCCGTCGGCCACCCAAAATTTCTTCCAGAAATCCAGAAAAAAAAATTGATCGCAATTCGCATGGACTGGATGGCGTAGTGCTCAAGTAGGCCATGTTTGGGTCGAAAAGTTAAGCATAGCCTACAGCTTTAAATCAGGTCCACTGATTAGCCCGTCCCGTTAGCTTTTTAAGATTCGATGTCACCAAATCTGGTGGCTTCCCTTTCCCAAAAAGCGCCAAACACACATGGAGAAAATAGTTAATGTATGAGAAATATAGTAGAAGAAATAATTAAATATAAATGTTAAACATAAATAGAGTTATAAACAAGTATAGTTTTTAAAAAAATTAAAAGAGGATAAATACATGTATATATTGATGCAAATCATGATAGAACGGGTTGAGAACAGGACGTGATATATCGGAAGCAATATCCATACATATCTGCCCCACGTTAGTGCCGGTCAGGTAATACCCATCCCAAACAGGTCCGAACATATTAGATCGCACGAATTAAATAAAAAATTGTCATCACTATTAGAATCAAAGATTGTGAGGAGTAAATATGAAACAACATTAGTAAACTAAGTGCATGTGATAAATGTGTAACGAAAGTAAAGGCGAGCTAATTAGTAACAAAGTAAAGGCAGAAAAAAGTACATAACATCACTTTAGAAACTCTTTATGTATATTTGGATTTGGACTTCACTGCACAATGCTCGTATAAATGCGAATCACAACCACAATGGATCAAGCTAGTGAGAAAATTATAACCTTTCGGGAACAATCACCTTGTTTACACTCATTATAATTAGGACTTTGTACGTAACGAATCCTAATTACCCCAAAGGACAAAACAAAACATGACAATATCACTTCATAAGAGAAATCGAATGGGTATATGTATCATAAATGGTGTATATATGTATCAATTAATACAATCATAATGTAACTCAAATACCAATAATGTATCGACTATAATCTACCAACCAACACATCTAAACAATATTTATCAAATAACATTAACCCATAGTAATTATCCCTGAGCGCGGCAGTGGGCGACGGCGGCGGCGTCCGTGGAAGTGCCTTCCATGCAATTCGGACGATGGAGGCAGCGGTGAAAATGTTTGACGGTTGCCTTGGCCTCCAACAGCTGTGCTTCAATGACCATCACTTCCTCTTCCCAACTCATCAACGCTTCCCTAATCATCTCTTTATCACCATCATCATGACGTGGCGGCAGCTGGCCGCCAACACTGACATCGGCGCGACCACCGTCGTCGGCGGCATCATCAGCCTTGTCATTAGACGACAACTCCTTCATTAAGGCCCATAACCCCAGGAACAAGACGGGTAAGGTGGCTAATAAGGGGCAGCCATATTTCGCAAGGAAGAACACTAGGATAGCGAAAAGGAAAAGATCTACGGAGGAGGGCATCGCTGCCGGTTGCCTTTCTAGACGGGTAAGGTGGCTAATAAGGGGCAGCCATATTTCGCAAGGAAGAACACTAGGATAGCGAAAAGGAAAAGATCTACGGAGGAGGGCATCGCTGCCGGTTGCCTTTCTACTCTTCCGTTCGCGGGGGATCCCGTCGGCGACATGATCAATGGTGTTTGTAGGGTCTTTTCTATCACAATTACAAAGATGTTTCTTGTTCTGTCACCTAGTTTGTTTTTATATTTATAATAAAACCTAGCAGTGGGTTGGAACATTAGACAGAAAAAATACGATGTTAAAACGGATTAGGACTTAAGGCGCAGTGGTCCCTTTCTTAATGGGCCGGTATGTGTAGCCCACAGCTCAAGGCCGGTATGTACCATACCGTACCCAAATTTGGTGGGAAATTTGAAAGGTGAGCTTAAAATAATTTTTTTTATGGAAACATGCTATACTTTTATTAAATAGAAATCGACGTTACATCATCACTAATCAATTGGTCAATAAGATAAACCGGCGGCCTGTCAAGCCAGACCATTCGTTCATCCCATCTACTCTATGCATGTGCCATTATGTGGGCTGCATTATTTGTCTCTCGGAATATAAATCTCCAGCTGTTGTTCATCAGCTCATCAAGCATACGTCTCACATTTCGACAAAGAACACAGAGCTCCGTTTGCAATGTGTGTGGGTTTTGAAGGATTCGGATAATGTTCTGACTGTTCGACTCAAGTATGATGGAATCATAATTCAGTTGCCTTGCCAATTGAACTCCCATCTCAGCGGCCAAAGCTTCTGCCTGATCCACACTCCACTCCTCATGAAATTTCTTTGCAGCAGCAGCTAGGAATCGACCTGCATCATCCCTCAAAACCAATCCCAGGCTTGCACCCCCGCTCGCAATAACACTTGCCTCCGTAGCCACTGATATACTCCCTTGACATGGTCGCTTCCAATTCTTCTTATACTGGCCCTCTCCCATTTCTCTAATGACTTCCTCACTGAGCCGGTGCTCCTTATAGTCTATTAGTATTAGGAAGTAGTGTGCTCGAGAGGCAATTTCATATTCCGGGTTCTTATGACCATTGAAAAGTTGGGTGTTTCGTTCTTTCCACAAGAACCACATCAAGGTACACCATTCTTCCATCACGTCATCTCCCATTTGCTGCATGACCTGTCTTGTCCACTCAAAACAAACGCCACCATTTCTTGATTCAAAACAAACCCATAGCGTCGTTGGTCTCCAAATACGGGTCGTCCAACCACATTCTTCGAATAGATTAACTTGAGTTTCTTTAATATCATTGAACGAACATCGGTCACTCCACTTCTTACTCCGGGTGCTGACATGATCCCTTGTCGACAAAGCATCTCTCATGAAACGCCACATAAAGTGCTTCACCTTCGGAGGTACCTTCATTGCCCACATACTTTTCCATGTTTCTCGGTCTCCAAAAGCACTTATACCCATTGCCTTTGATTCACTCTCCAACCACACTCTGTAAGCTTCCCGAACAACATACTCCCCCGAATCACTATGTCGCCATACAAGCTTATCAGTTTTGTTGCCTCCCCGCAAAGGGATTTGAGTAATGGCCCAGACCACCTCATCCAGGAAACAACTTTGAATCAGCGTCACGTCCCTCTCCTCAGTTTTTGGGTCGACAAATTCGCAAACAGTGGCGTCCACTGGCATCCCCATTAGTGGTGATGTGACATACAACTTTGATATTGTGGGAACCCATTTGTCTCCCCAAATCTTGACCTTCGCACCACCAACCCTCCATCGCAAAGAAATTCCTGGGCACTCATCAACGATCTCCAGATCAAACTCGGCTATGGCCACAATGGGCATCCATGATGGATCCATTTTTGTGATATTTGGCCTTGATAATCCTCGCCACAAGGGAGTCTTCCCGCTGATGTAGCCTCCAAAGTTGTTTAGTAAGCAAAGCCATATTGAAGCCTTGATATCTCAAAATCCCATCCCTCCATCTTCTTTGAGTTGCGTTAGTGTTGTTTTACCAACCCAGTGTGCCTGTTGCTTAGTACCACGTTGCCCCCACCAGAAATTGATGATCAGGCTATTGATCTCATCCAACACACCTTCAAGCACCCGAAATACAGACATTGCGTAATTGAGTTGATCCTGGGCTACGAATTTGATAAAAATTTCCCTGGCAGCCGACGACATGACCCTCTCTTTCCAACCTTTTAGCTTCTTGCGAATCCGTTCTTTAATCTCTACAAAGAGGGCCTTCTTCGATCTACATGCTTCTCTCGCAAGTCCCATGTACTTATCATGCTTGGAAACACACTTCACTCCAAGAACACCTCCTACTTCCAGTTGCCGACGAGTCTTAACATTAGAATTAAAAGAGATTTCTGACTTCTGAATGTTCACAAGATGCCCCGATTCCCTCTCATAGTCATTTAAGATGTGCTTCAGCTCTGTACTCTCCTATATCGTGGCCCTGAAAAAGAACACACTATCGCCAGCAAAAAATAGGTGTGACACGACTAGGGATCGTTGGGCCGGCTTGAACCCATAGCTTAAAAGAATAACTCCCGGGGTCATGTAGTTGAACCATTTTATATCAATAAAATTTATATTGGCTTGAGTTTTAAACTTTTGATAGAAGAGTTTCCCGGTTGGACATCAGTAGTGTACGGTTTCACAAATACTAGTTATTACTTATTACCACGACAACATTAATAGGAGAAAAGAGGACTTATTAAGTAGAACACATTATAAATAGAAAATAAATTTTTATTACATATATATTATATAAACATATTTTATTTCTAACTTCTTATTTTCAATTGTCAAAATTTGGTGTTTGTCAGATTCCTGTGGTTGATCATCATAAATTTTGTTGTCATTAACAAATTTTGTCGCCGCAAATATTCTCTAGTAGCTACCGGTGGTTCAATGAAGGAGATGTGTTTTCCGGTGAGAAAATTTGTGTTGAATAGAATTGATTGCACCTTTACTTTAACCAACCGATTACTAAGACTCGGTTCGCACCTCTTCAAACAAAGTTTGAACGAGGATCTTTGATTGATGATTTTTGGGAATGAAACTAAATTAAGTTACCCTTCTCCTGTGGAGGTTCGGTGAGAGCTCCAAACTACAAGCTACGTTTATGGCTACTTGATAGAGAAAAGCTAAAGGATAAACTTGACATGTATGTTAGAGTGTTGGTTTTGGGAACCTTTGTCTCTGTCGACCCTTCCTCCTATTTATAGCTACGGGGATATAACCTTCGTAAAAAAAACCCTCTTGCACAACTCTCAAACAAAATGTTTTCGACTTAGCTTAGCTCCGGCCATCGATTTTCGTCGGCCCTGCCTAGTTCCGGCCGCCGAAAATTTTCGCCCAGGCCAGGTTCCGGCCGCCGAAAAAATTTGGCCCACAGTCTGTGTTTGGAATTTTTCGGAAAAATTTGATTTTAGGAGTTGAATTTAGAGTTTAGGAGTTGAATTTACCTTTTAAGAGTTGAATTTAGCGTGTAACAATTGAATTTAGAGTTTAGGAGTTGATTTTAGCATTTAAGACTTGAATTTAGAGTTTAGGAGTTGAGTTTAGCATGTAAGTATTGAATTTAGAATTGAATTTACAGTTTAGGAGTTGAATTTAGCGGTAAATTAGCGTTTAGGTTCACAGAAATATTGATGTGTTATATTGTAATTGTAGGAAAAATGTCAGAGTGGTTACCGGCCGATCATGATTACACACAGGAATTTGAGAATGGGATCCATTATGCTAGTGTGGAGTTAGCTGCAAAAGCAATCGCTCAGGAGTGTGGGTTCTTTATTATCAGAGAAGCATGGAAACCGAATACTACAACACTACATCCTGTCACTGTCCTTTGTATGTTTTGCGACAGAAACAGTTGGATCGTTAAGTCTTATAAACCAGACCCTACGAAGGAGACGCGTGGGATATTAGTTCGAAGGGTACTGATTGCCAGTTTCATATATGTATTAAGGAAGTATGGCAAGAGAATGGTCCAAACACATGGGTCATAGTAGGAGTGACAAGTCGTGTAACCGGAGCTAATAGAGGGTTTCACAACCATGAAAAGGTGTTGTATCCAGAACATCACCGACACAACAAAAAGTTTAGTGAGGCTGAAAAAGGGAGGTTAAGATTAATGAGGAAGGCGGAGGTGAGACCAAATCAGCAGAAGACGACACTAAATACTGAAGGGGGTGTGCATCATGATATCAAACAGATGTACAACAGAAATTACAAGACAAGATTGGATGAGATGGGTGAAATGAATGCGATACAGTTTGCGCTTCACAGAGCTAAACAGCGTGGGTACCATATCTTTTTTGCAAAAAGACGCTAATAATGTGCTCACTAATCTATTTTTTGCCCACCCGACGTCCATTCAGATGTTGCATGCATGGCCGTACGTCATCCTCATCGACTCGACCTACAAGACGAACAGGTACGGCTGGCCATGGGTTGAGATTATTGGGGTTACTCCAGTCAAGAAGAATTTCAACATTGCATGTGCAATTATTAAGCAGGAAACAAAGGAAACATATGAATGGTTGCTGCGATGTATTAAAGGATTGCTCGGTGATACGGTTTCGAATGTCATTGTGACGGACAAAGAAGGTGGTATGCTTGCTTCTGTTTGTGTGGTCTTCCCTCTCCCACATACTGTCCACCTACTATGTTTATGGCACGTCAACAACTGTGTGAAGAAAAGGTTTGAGCAATTACTAGGTGGAATTGCAAAAAGAGAGGTAGCACAAGCGGTATGGAAGAAATATTTCGACAAAGCTGCATGGAGTTGGGCTCAGGAGGGTTTTCTTCAAAAGATTAATGAGCTTGAGAGGGTCTGGACAGAGAAGAACATAGATATGGTCGACTACATGCGAGGTGAGTGGTAGCCTCATGGTAGGTCAAAAGCGTAATGCCTCAATCCTATCTCGTATTAAACCGGAAAGTCCGGGTATCGTCTCTCAGGGACTGGTACAACCTTAAGTTCTATCAATTTTTATTGAGCAAACTATATGTGAAAATGTTTAATGAGATGAAACTATGATCTACTAGCAAAATAATTAAACAAAACAAGCAAATTAAAATGTCGGGTTTAATTCAATGGGAGAAATCTCTGGGAGAAACACCGGGATTCACTACCTATCCTATCCAGATTAATTCACATATCCCAATCAATTTAATCCATACCTCTACAGCCAAGATATCACGAATGTGCTAGCTATCCCTGTCGGGAATTACTACGTACTAAATAATCAATCCAAATCCTACTGTCGTAGCTCAATGAATTAACTATATAGTCTGAAGCTCGATATCCTATTTAAGACCGCATAGCACCTTATTTAATCCACTGTCGCTTCGATAAGTTACTATGTCACATGAAACAGGTTCAGTTAATAGCGTTTCACTGTCGCTAATAACCTAATTAACTACAAATCATTGTATTGGTGGCCAGTCAACACAAAGCATTAAGAAATTTCATGCAATAGAGATTGGAAGAAAAGAATCACGAATCAATCCATCAAATCAAGAAATAGCTACATCCTATGGTGTTTCCCCCAGAAATTGGGGTTTAGTTCATGACGAAATTGAGATAAAACAATAGGGTTTTGATCATCATGTTCTAAATCAACAATAAACAACTAGTTCGGTTCAGAAAATCCAACCAACTAATCGCTCTCGTTGAACTCAGCTCAAGCCTTGGAAATCTCAATCGCCGATTGAGAATCGACTCGTCGCGTTTGCTCTGTTGCTGCCTTGCGCTTTCTTTCTTTCTCGCCAAGAAATTCGCGTCCCAAAACAATAATCAAAATCCGCCGCCAAAATAATTCACTCCCCCAAAAACCAAAATAAAGTTCCGCCCATAATAATCCCTTTCTCCGAATTCCTTGCGCAGCCTTCTCCCTCTTCCACCTGGAGACAACCACCCTTCTTTTTCTTTAATTCCAAGCCGACCCCTCCAATGATCACCGCCAGCCCAAAACCACTTCTGTCCGGCCCAAAATAATTGGTCCCAGAGCATGCCGTCCCAAAAGCCTCACTCCCCAGCCAAGTCCAATTCCTTCCAGCCTTCCAATTTTGATTCTGGCCCACTTAGGCCTTTTGCCCAATTGAGTATTCCACCAGTGATTCGAGAATTGTTTGCCGGTGCAACTTCTTTTTCGTGTTTTCTTCACCTGTAATATCAAACTCATGGCACTAGGCAGTAATGGTTTTTTCAACCATTCTCAGGTTAGCGAGCCCTAAAATAGCACCAATTGGCTAAAACATACCACAGATAATCACATAAAGTCCAAGAATCTGATATATTAAAGCTGAATATCACAACCACACACTGAATTGTTGCTTGTCCCTAAGCAACGACTCAAATGACACAAACACATAACCAACCATAACAATGACACACCACAAACTCACTAATCAAACACTCAAACAAAACAAAATTTTCCTTGTACTCTTGTTGTAATCAGTAGTTTCTTTCTCAAAAACAAGTTGTGCTTTAATGATCATACCTTTCACCCCACACTCAAGTTCTTTGCAACCATTACCATTGACTGACTCAAATCCATCAAAAACTCAAATAGCAACACTCAAATTCGATCATCGGTAGCGGGTGGTTAACAACTTATGGTGCAATAGTTATTAGGAGAATCTAACAACATCAGTGAGGTGCATATCTCGTGAGGACAATCTGGCTTACTCACACCAATCATAAGCAATTAATTAAGCATGAGTCTCAAAAACTAATGGGGGAAGCCTTTCGCAAACATGATTTTAACTTTAAGCACATCACTACCTTTTATGACAAGGAGAGGCTTTCTCTCTTTCTACTTTTGCTTGCCGAGAGGTCATATTTAGTACAAGTGAGATTTGTTTCTTACTACCGATGACCGAGCAAGAGCAATTTCTGCTTCTTAGCACTCGCATAAGGGCTTCTTTTAACTCCTTTTCCTCGGTCCGTGTGGAGGGTCATTGAACATCCTCTAATGGCACTTCACTCAACTGGGGATCGTACTTGATAAGCAACATCGTACGGTCGCGAACCGATTCTCAATTGAATCTTTCCTAATCCCCATGTGCAATGAGTGATTGCCTCACACGATTTTGGCATTTTTACCCACACTTTAATTGTTATGGCAACTTTCTTATATTTTATTTGTCAGGTAGTGTTTTCTTTTATGAAGATACAGTTCACCCCATCATAAAACATTCAAAACAGAGAGACTCGTTGCAAAATCAAAAGCTCACAATTGATGCAAGTAAGCACGGTATCCAAACATATCGAATGGTCAATGTTCTCCACCAAACTATTTCACCAAAAGTAGTTACACTATCCTCACAAAAGAGAATGTTGCTAAAAGAGTTGCTCATTCAAAGCATATTAAGTCAGTCAAAACATTTAAGCTCGTTGTGAAGAACCATGCAATTCAACACTAGTGGGGTGATTTCGATGATTTCATTCAAGCACAAACTCATATCACACGCATCACAATCATTTACATCATGTTACCACAAGAGTACAAGGTTTTGTTTTTATTTTTTCTGATTTTTAGGTGTTAGATTAACACAGGCAGCCTGCTTTTTACACAGGCAAACTGCATGCAGTTTGGCTGTGCTCAACCTAATGGCAATTTTTTTTTTACGATAAACACATGACGAGACACTGTGGACAACTAAGACTCGACATAAAACACGACAAGAACACAGACCATCCACCCCACACTCAGGATGGACATTGTCCACAATGTCTACAACTACACACGACACACCAATAGGTTCACCTAACTAACAGTGTACATACCATCATTCACTACGAGTAGTATTCACCAAGAAAAGAAAAGAAAAGAAAAGAAAAGAAAAAAGAACCTCGGGACAAGCTCCTATGAAGGAGGGGTCGATGAAGAAGTGCCGAGCTTCTCATCTAGACACCGGTTTAGAACCTGGATCTTCTTATCTTTCTCTGCATCTCTGGCTTCCAAGATAGCTATTCTGGCTCTGAGCTCGTCTGCAGATGATGGTGAAGCTGGTACAACTGGTAAAGTATCTCCTGGATGCGGAACTGGAGGAGGATGGGACTGCTGGCCCTGGCTGACACTCGTGGCAGAGTGTCCCGCTGCTGCTGGTGCTGGTGATGGTGAACAAGCCCCCAGAGGCATGGGCGTAGGAGCTGGAGCTGTGGTCGGAGTGGTTACTGATGGTGCGGGAGATGATGCTGAAGCAGAAGTTGCTCTAGCAGCCCTTGCTGCCCTTTTCCGATTGACCTTGGTCTCCCACTCCTTGTATCTTGCGATAGATAGATACTCTCCACGAGATCCTGCTTTCCTCAGAAAACCCAATTTGCCTAACGCTGATTCCCCAAGAAGAGTCGAGCCATCACTGATCTCCAAACCCGTAGGGTTCTCCGGGAACCCCCAGTAAGCTCGAGCTAATGGAGTAATGATTCCCCCACACATAATTGCTTCGCAAGTTTTCAGTGCATCATTTTCAAGCATCTTACCCACCATGTACCCAACACACAATGGTGTTCCAGTAACGAAACTGTGAATGTACCTGAGATCGGTGGTGTAGACACCACTGGCATTGGATCCCTTTCCCAAGACAGTGCGAGCCAGGTAGTCATGTACTAGTGGGATCACCTGCTCTCTGATCGATGCTCTCCTCTAAGAAGTAGGATTGAAGTCCTTTCCAACTGCCACAATTGTTGTCCAAAACTCACTCAAGTCCTGCTTTTCATCAGGTATAGCATCTGCTGGACCATCGAAGAGAAGTGCTCGGTTTACTTGGCTCAAAGTGAAGGACTTGGTTTTCCCGGTCAAAGTACTCTGAAGCTTGCTCTCAACCCCATTATCCTCGAAGCTGTAGGTGGCCAAGAATGCTCTAATGAGGTGTGGATAGGTGGGGAAGTGCAGCTCCGGAAATCTAGCCCAATTCATCCGGCGGAAGTATGTCATCACCTCCTCAGCTCGCTCGGTCTTCTGCAATGCTTCATAGTCCATGAAATGTGAAGGGGTGACCTCTCGTTTCATCAGATCGGCATATTCTTCTTTATGTTTCTGGAGCTGGACAGGTTGACCGAACGTCTTAGAGACGTCCTTTGGAGGAGGAGTGCCAGCCTTCTTCTTGCTTGCACTTAGGCTAGTATGACGTGGTGTCGTGGATGGTGCAGGTGCTGAAGAAGAAGACATTTGTGATCGTGAAGATGAGCTCGGTTGCTGGAGATGACTCCTCTTCGCTGGCCTGCTCTCCGGTGATACAACTGGTGTTGAATATGGTAATGGAGGTTCTTCAGTAGGCATTTGAGCAGGCTGCTGTGGTGGAGATGGAGTTGGAGAAGTCATCTCAATAGTCCGGGACCGCATCGTGGGTCCTACCTGGCCGGTGATCACTCTGTGAAATCGAGCGGGCATGTTGACCGCTTGAAGTTGTGGAGGAACTTCTGGAATTGGGTTGTCCTTGTCGGTCACCTTGTGGCTATCTTCAATTGTCCATGAACGGTAAACAATCTTCCCATCTTCACTTTGATCAGTGACTTTGAATTTCCGAGGTGGAGGGGTATATCTACGGCGTCCCATATCTGCAACCAAGAGTGCAAACTGGAAAACAAACTTCTCAAACCTCCACTCTGCTCTTGAATCACCGATTCTTGCACAAATCTGTACTCTGCTTCCCAAATTCCAGTTCAATGCTACCACAATCAGAAAATCCCCTAATTCTTCAACCCTCAAATCAACCAATTCTCAAGATTCACCCATAAATCTTCTGCAAATACTCTTCTAGACAGTAATTGCACTTCAATTGGCCCAATCAAGCAATCATCACACTCCAATTTCACCTCAAATTCGAAATTGAGCAAAACCCCCAATCTGAAGAACCCTAATTTTCGAATTTCTTCATAAACTGCAGAATCTTGATGAATCAGACCTTGGGAAGACAGATAGGTTTTGGAGATGATGGATGGGGGTGCTGGAATCAGGCGTTGACCGCCGGAGACGGCCGACGCGAGGGCTCGCCGGCGGAGGGGTGCTGCTGGTTGGGAGTTGGGCCGCGCGACGCCGCGGCGAGGCTGGGAGGCGCTGGTCGTCTGTTGGGGGAGTGCGACGGGGAGGAGGGGAGCTGATGGCGACGCGGGGCTTGGGTGGGAGGCTGGTCGCCGGCGGCACTTTATTTAGCAGGGGGGACGGCGGAAGGCAGGGGGTCGCTTCTGCTGCTTGGCGAAGAAGGAGGGAAGAAGGGAGGAAGGGGAGGGGAAGGGCAGCATCCCGACCCCGACTCGGTTTCAAAAAAAAAAATTTCGAATCCGAAATGTTGTGCTGCTACTGTTTTTTTTGTTTGTTGAGAAACAGACTTTCTCCCTTTCAGTCCCCCCTTCCTTTTCAAAAATGTCAGATCAGTCCTTCCCGCCCAAAACTTTCAGATTAGTCCTCCCCCCACACTTGCGGTTTGCCTGTGCTCATTTTGCAGCCTCCCTGTGCAAAAAACAGCCTGCCCGTGTACCTACAAAACACCAAATAATACCTTCCTCAAGGCTTTTGGAGCTGAATTTTGGCGAAGAGCCTCTAGACACACCCTAAAACTAAAAAATGAAAAAAAAATTGAAAAAAAAACTCACCTTGGGTTGCCTCCCAAGAAGCGCTTGTTTTGCGTCGCTAGCTTGACGTAAAATAGCTCATTCCAGATGATATGTTGAGATTTCCAGGACGAAAACCCCTTCAATATAGTGCTTGAGCCTCTGACCATTCACCTTAAATGCCCCTTGATCACCAAGAATCTTGATTGCACCATGTGGGTACACTTTGGTCACCGTAAATGGTCCGGACCACCTTGACTTCAATTTTCCAGGGAAGAGTTTAAGGCGTGAGTTGAAAAGTAATACCTTCTCTCCCACCTTGAACTCTCTTCTCAGTATGTGGTAATCGTGCCACTTCTTGGTTTCCTCCTTATAAATCCTGGCATTTTCATAGGCATTAAGCCTAATCTCGTCGAGCTCATTCAGTTGCAACAGGCGCTTCTCTCCAGCAGTTTTTAGATCAAAGTTCAGCTTCTTGATAGCCCAATACGCCTTATGCTCGAGCTCGACGGGCAAGTGGCAAGCTTTTCCAAACACCAATATGTACGGATACATGCCTAAAGGAGTCTTGAAAGCAGTCAGGTATGCCCAGAGTGCATCATCTAACTTCCTTGCCCAATCTTTCCTTGTTGAATTCACCGTCGTCTCCAGAATGTGTTTCAGTTCTCTGTTGGAAACTTCCACTTGCCCGCTGGTTTGTGGATGATAGGGTGTAGCAACTCGATGCTTAACCCCATATCTGGCTAGCAACGTGTTCAACTCCTTTCCCATGAAGTGTGTGCCCTCGTCACTGATGAGAAATCGAGGGACTCCAAATCTGGTGAACACGTTCTTCCTCATGAAATTCACCACCGTCTTTGAGTCATTGGTGGGCAATGCCACTGCCTCCACCCACTTGGATACATAGTCGACTGCGACTAAGATATATTTGTTGTTGAAAGACGGTGGGAATGGCCCCATGAAATCCACTCCCCATACATCAAACATCTCTACCTCCAAAATCGAGGTCTGCGGCATCTCCATCCTTGCAGATATGTTCCCTGTTCTTTGGAACCTATCACATTGAGCAACAAAATCAAGGGCATCTCGAAATAGAGAAGGCCAATAAAATCCAGATTGTAACACCTTTGTTGTTGTCCTATGAGGTCCAAAGTGACCTCCTGCGGCCAT